TAACCAGAGTATGCCCATTAAGACGTGAGTCGCAAGATCGACTTTTATGCTGTATGTGCTCGGATACACGAATCGGAATGTGATGGAGCCGATGCAGACTGTCATTGTGAAGGTAGCCTCGTGGCAGGGTTAGCCGTGTATGTGGAATTGAACATCGAGACATACCAAGCCCATCGAGAAGAACAGGACGTTTTCTGGAAGGGACGGGTACAGCCAGGCGCTGAGACAGAGAATAGCGATGGCAAATGGGATCCGCACTGCGTGCAGAACAACTGACTCTGTCCATCCCGACGGAGGTCCCAGCTGAAAGTAAGCTAGTATGTTGCTCATGCTGGTCGAAGCGAGGAGAACAGTTGGTGATGAAGTTTGAAGGAGACGCCTGTTAACGAGAATGCGACAATACTGTTGTGAAAGATCGAGATGATAACGGTGAGTATAGTATTTTTGTACCAAACACTGTCATGGCTACCAGACAAGACTCACATTTGTCTCAGACACTTCGAATACATGCCCCTAAACCTCGCCGATCTAATTCCCTATATTACTGTCAAAGACAGCTGTGATGAGACACCAGAGACACGGAGCTTCCACAATCCGATCTACATGAACTCGAAACGTTGCATAACTCTTGATCATTGTAGTTGAAAGCCTGCTTGTACATGTAACTCTTCTTGAGACATCTCTCCAGACCAGATCCCATAGCCTAGAATGTTGGCCATCGGCCTAGGTTGCGCGCCTGCCGTACGTGATATTCTATCTCTAAATAGCGTTCCATACGATTAATCCGGCCCTGAAGGTCAACAGCAAGAGCCAGAAGATGTTGCAAGCCCAAGAAGACTGCGATAAGGCCAACGTATAGGATGAGGACAGACACGAAGAAGCAGAAGAATGCAACTGCTGCCAGGAAAGCGATGAGCATTTCCGCGTCGACCTTGACTAAATCGCGCAGGATTGGTAGTCGGTTTGTAGGAACTGAGGGCTCTCCGTTGGGTTCTGTCGTAAGTCTCGATCGGAGATTAAGCGGGGAAATGATGTGTAGCGAGAAATCTGTATCAATAACCCCCAGAGTCATATATGTTCAGTCCTTTGTTTGCTGCAAAACAAGCGCGCGCAAGTGCAGTCAACACCTGTTGCATGTGGAATGTCACAGAATAGCCTTCAATGGCGTAACAACTGTGATTGCGATCTCCTTTGAGACGCGTCGTGAATGCCGTAGCTGCCAAGCTGTGACGACTCGCTGCTCGGAAGAACTGGTGGGATTCGCAATCTAGAATCACTTGAATGTGATGGCATGGCAGTAGAATGAGGAGTAAAGAGTATACTATCGTTTCACTCAACTTCCCTAGATGTGCCCGCCTCGTTGCGCCACGCGCTAGTGGCGTGTCTAGCTGACGCACAGACTCCCCCACCTCCTTTCCCAGACTGGTGTCTTCGGATCTGTTCTTCCCATCACCAAAAGGACGCGCCGCGCACTAGTGACGAGGCTTCGACAACAAATCTTATCCAAACAACCGTCTGGTCAACGTCAAAGTCAAAGTGCAAGTCGTGCCGCGGCGGACGCGCCGCCCCACGCTTCCCGTCCTTGGCTTGGCCAATGGCATCGCAGAACGCCCTCCCTAAGGTGACAAGCTCAACCACAAGCAAGCATGTGGATATAGACGCGTCCCAATGGTTTCATCGTCCTGGGTATTCACAGAGAACTACGGAATGAGCGGTAGGTAGCGTGGCTGCTTAGTCCTCCGCATTAGGAAGTCCAGACTTGGATCTTGTGTGATGAAGCAAACGATGGCGTCCGCGGTACACTACGAACTCTGAGGATGAGTCGGTTGTGTCGTTCCTATATGTAGGTAGAGGTTCGCTTGATTGAGATTGTCGCGAGACGGTTCTGCGGTTCTCCTCCCAAGTCATTCTTTTCCAACAGTCACTCATTCTCAACATGCTTACTTTCTCTTCTTTCTTTGTTGCTGTGCTGCTAGGCGCCATTGGCAGCAATGCTGCGCCACTCATCCAGGAGCGAGGTATGTTGGTAGTGCGACATCTCTGTCGTTGCGTAACTGACGAGTGACAGGTATCGCTCCAAACCTTCTGGGCAACTTCAAGTTGATGGAGCAGTATGCGTCGGCAGCATATTGCTCAAACAACTATGACTCCACCGGAGATCAGATTGAGTGCTCCACTGGCAACTGCCCTCTCGTTCAAGACGCGGACTCTACCACCGTCATCGAGTACAGCCAGTGAGTCTAATCCCAGCCCCCGCAGACGTCAAGGTTCAGCGGTTGTTGAATGGCCATGAACGATCCGGAGGCTAACAGCATACAGAGAGAATGCTATGACCGATGTGACGGGCTTTGTCGCAGTCGATCATACGAATAAACTCGTGGTTGTCTCCTTCCGCGGCACTCACACCATCGAAGACTGGCGTACGAACCTCGACTTCGGCACCACCACAACAGACATCTGCCCGGGCTGCACTGCCCACCGCGGCTTTTGGCAGTCCTGGCTTGATGCGCGCGATAGTGTCTTACCCGCCGTGCAACAAGCAATAACCGCCTTCCCTAGCTACAGGATCACGGTGACAGGCCACAGTCTCGGAGGCGCCGTCGCTACTCTCGCCGCCGCCAGTATGCGCACTGCTGGCTACAATGTCGCGTTGTACAATTTCGGATCACCAAGGATAGGAGGAAGTAAGATTAGCTCCTACATCAGCAACCAGCGTGGTGGCAACTTCCGCGTCACGCACTGGAACGATCCCGTTCCTAAGATGCCGTTATTGACCATGGGATATGTTCACATCAGTCCTGAGTACTACATCAACAAGCCGAGTAGACAGCCGGTATCGGCTGGCGACATCCAGACCTTCGCTGGTGCTGCCAATCTTTTCCAGGGAAACCAGGCCTGGTTAATTATGGATGTCGAAGCTCATCGATGGTATTTCGACATGGTGTACACCTGCGGAGCGAAGAAGTCGAAGCGTGGAGCTTTGGAGATGAGGGGCGTCGAGGGAAATATGGAGGTGGTGACTACGTTCTGATACCCCGGATAATTACAGGTGTCTTCTTCAAGGTCCGGTATAATGTATATTATGTCTAATGCTCGATTCCTGTCCAACCTCTCCTTCCTACAAAACCCTTAACCCCTTCGTCGCTTTCAACATCTCGTGCTAACCTTCCGGTAACAACGCTTCGCTCATGGTCTCGACCGCGTACAAGGAACGAGTTGAAGCCTCCAGTCCATTTCCCCCTTTCCCTGCCGGAAGCATCCGGACTAAACCCGCTACTCTGCCGATCGAGTTGGAGAAACCACCGCCGTTGATGTACCGACCCAATATCGTTCGTCGAGCCCGGATATGCATTGGTGGTACGTGTTTGATCATCCTCTTCCGTGTCGGTGTCGAGATCTTGATCCGCTACCTCCTCGTGTACGTATGCGTCCGCGACACTAGCTTCGTCACTTGAGGTCACGGGGGTTCGTGTTGCAGAGCTACGCTGTGATCTCCTCCGCCTTCCCTTTCGTCTCGCTGTCGGCTGTCTGGATATCTCATTTGATGAGAGACGCAATATGACTGTATAGTTGTGTGGCAGTCGTGTACCGTGTAGACGCAGGCGGATGTATCGAGTCTTGAAAGCTGCTACCAGCTTTGAGCTCTCCTGGCATTGTCCGCCTGCAACTTCGCTTCCCTCATTCGCCGCTTCATCGTCTTCTGTTTCGTCATCATCCGTAGTCTGTGAACTTGGCATCCCGTTCTTTCTCTTCCTCCTGGGCAAGATACTATAAGTTCCGGTATCCCATATGATCAGGCTTCCAGTCTTTCTGCTGGCACTCTCGATCAAGTGGTTCCAGTAGTTGTGTACTCTAGTCTCGATCGCCATTCTGCCTATGCTCCGCGAGTTGGGGTCGCCAGGAAGTCCTTTTGGAAGGGCGAAGGACATCGAGCTCGTTTCTGAGAACTGAAGACGGAGGTCATAATGTACACCCGCAATTGGGTGGTTGTGTTGATGAACGACAAAGTGGTGACCATAAGGGTTGGCATTAGACTGGTAGAGGGTGGTAAAATCATCGATTGAGAGTCTTGGTACGTCAAGTGCTGTGTCTCTAGAGCTTTTCACTAGGTGGTTTCTGAAGTAGGTAAGGTGATCGTCAATCTTGACCTTGCCGGCTTCTACTGCTGCCATCGCGGGTACAGCCTTTGCGACAGTTGGCGTTGCATCTGAATGCACATTTGGTTTTGAAGTTGGGCTCCTGATATCTGCTTCAGACGTTCTTCTTCGCTTTGAAGGCCGCGGTGGCGATATGTCGCGTGCGAGACTTGCTGGTAAGCCCATTGCGAGTCTTGCGTAGTTGACGGCGAGCTGTCACCTACGATCGGGCTTAGGAAAAGCACGAATCCCACACGTTCATTCTTCGCCAGGTTGTACTCTTCAACATTGTAGGCGAGGAGGTTGGCGTTCGTTTTGTGAGTGAGATGCGCGTTATAATCGCAAAACGCCGCGACGAGGCGATGACGTCAGTTGCCCGCGACACCCTACGTTAAACACCACGAGCATTCCGAAGTGATGTTAATAATCGTACGCGCAATCGAAAGGGAAACGTCGGGATGCCAAAAGCGAAAGATCCGGATCGTGACGAGAAGCATACACGCGTGTGCGAGGTGTGGGGTCCCCGCAACAGCCGAGGTCTGTCATTGGCTGTCGGCAAACTTCCTTCTTCCTGCTCGGCAGACCTGCCCAAATAACGACCATACCTCAACGTCAACGCGCGAACACAGGCACGAAGAGGTTAGACGGCACCCATACTCCGGACATGATGAGGTTGAACGGGAGACGCAGGCTCCACCGATGGGGATCTGGTCGTTCTGGGGTGTGGATCAGTGGATCAGCGGAGGTGATGGCGTAAAGTCGAAGGTATAAGTATCCCTATTGCTCTATCCGATGCTGGTCGCGATTCTGGGCTCCCCTCATCATATCCTGTTGTATCTTTGAGTTATTTGAAGCTTCTCCATAATGTCTTTCGATACGGAGGTTCTCATCATAGGTGCCGGCATGAGTGGCCTGGGCCTCGCTGTCCAAATTATTCGCAAGTACGGTCTGCGTAACTTTGAGCTCATTGAGAAGAGTGACGATGTCGGTGGCACTTGGTTGGCAAACACATATCCAGGCTGTGGATGCGATGTAAGTTGTTCCAAGTCCAAACAGCTATCGGTGCCGAAAACTATGCTAAGCTGACTAGGTTGCCTCACACTTCTACTCCTACAGCTTCGCGCTGAACCCAGATTGGTCGAGAAAATACTCCATGCGTCCTGAGATTCAAGCCTACTTCCGCTCTGTGGCCGAGCAGTACAAGATCGTGGATCACGTCCGCTTCCATTCCATAGTGGAGAAAGCAGCTTGGAACGATTTCGACAACGTCTGGGAGGTATCTATCTTGAACCTTCAAACCAAAGAACGGACGACGCGTCGAGCGAAGATACTTGTCTCGGGTGTGGGCTCACTCTCAGTGCCTAAGAAATGCGATCTGCCCGGGGTGGAGACGTATCAGGGCAAACTGTTTCATTCTGCGCAGTGGGACCACAGTTTCGACTGGAAGGACAAAGATGTCGTCGTACTTGGTATGTCTATGTATATCGGCTCGTCAGTTGTGTGCTTACAAAGCCCCAGGCAATGGCTGCTCAGCAACTCAATTTGTTCCTATCCTGGCCAACGAGCCCAATCCCGTGCGTAAACTTACACAGTTCGGAAGACAAGCGCAATACCTTGCAGAGCGCCAGAACCCATACTATTCGAATACCTTCAAAGCCGTGATGCGCTACGTACCCCTAGCAATGCGCCTCTACCGTGCGAAATTCTACTACGACATGGAGCGCGACTGGAGTGGTTTTGACATTGAGACCGGGCGCAGCATCCGCCAAAACCTGGCCAAGGAGAATGAAGCATACGTAAAGAGCATGGCCCCGCCGAAGTATTGGAGCGCGCTCATTCCAAAGACCGAAATCGGGTGCAAGCGGAAGGTGTTGGACACAGACTATCTGAAGACCCTATGGAGAGATAACATTGAGCTGGTTGCCGACGATCCAGTGGAAAGAATCACCGATGATGGCGTGGTAACAAAGAGCGGTCGCGAGGTGAAGGCAGATGCCATCATGCTTGCCACCGGCTTTGCAACACAGCAGATGCTTTGTCCGATGGAGATTGCTGGGCGTGACGGACTGCGCCTGAACGAATACGTGAGTTTACCACAAATCGCCGCATGAGACCTATATACTGATGCATATCGTAGTGGGATAAAACCTCACAAGGCGTCGCGCAAGCTTACTTCGGTACGGTGGTCCCACAATTCCCGAACTTCTTCATCCTTATGGGGCCAAATACCGTCACCGGCCATCTCAGTGTCATCTACACCGTTGAGTGCCAGATCAACTTCACTCTCCGGCTGCTAGAGCCCATCTTCAAGTCACTGCCATCATATCGGTCGCAATCATTCATTCCTCAAATGCTTTCACCACCACCGGCGACCGTAGAGGTCAAGCCGGAGGCTGCGGTCGCGGACTCGCAATGGACACAAAAAGCAGCAAGCAAGCTGGTCTGGAACTCAGGTTGTGTAAATTGGGCTGTAGATCCGAAGACAGGTCTTAATAATAGTAAGTGGGGAGGGTGGACGCTGGTGTGAGTCCGTGCGCTAACACTGTCAGTGATGTACCCTGACTGGCAATTCCTTTATTGGCTCAGGAGCATCTTTTGGAAGAAGGGTGACTTCGTTTATCGGAACGAAAAGACGGGCGAAGAATTTCGACCGGGTACTACCAAAACTATCCTCTGGCTGGCTACTGCAGGAGCACTTGCTGGCGGTGCCTTTTTCGGACGGGATTGGATCCAAGATGAACTGCCTCGCCGGCTAAGGAACTTCGACGCGAGGACATTGGTACGGAGCCTGAAGGCCTGAAAAATGACCAGATGAGGGGGTGAGTCAGCGCATGCCTGGATGGGACGCCAGTATCATCATCTAGGTCACCCACACCTCCAGGCAACAACATCGTCCGACCAAGGCAAGTAGTATGCTCATGAGACGGAATAGATGATCTTTTTTCTACCAATGGTACTAAGTGGTGCGATTCGTCTCTTGCTACGGAGCGTTTCGCCGCCATCAATGACGTCGCGCGCACGAAATGGTCGTCTCTCCAGCAACAAGCAACACTGCACCTTTGTTCCCACGGTCGCAGCCTTCAGAGCCGTCCCCATGTCGCCTTAATAAGCTCAAGTCTATTGTCTAGCTGTCCTGCACGAACAATACCAGCAGAGTGAGGGAGGCGGGATATCTCACTTCCGGGTGTCCCTTCACCTTCACTTCACCAAATCGTCTCCCAGCCCCCTCAATTCCAGCTTTTCAAGCCCACAACCTTTTCGCTAATATTAATCGCATACTGAGAGTACTTTGGACTGCAAACTCTTCAGCTCTCTACACGATCAATCATTTCCCTCTCGTCTCCAACAAGCTCGACTTGATCATCTCATACCTTCTTACTTTACATTCCATAACCCAAGATACCTCCTGAGATGTCTCCAAAGACTCTCCTCCCAGATTTCGCAGTGGCGGTCAGCCAGATGGCTGTTGAAGCTGCAACCACAGCCTACCCGACCGACTACATCGTCGAGCACATCCTCAAGCTCAGTAACTACCTCATCAACCTTGCGGGAACCTGCAACCTCTTTGGCAAGCCCGAACTCGACATCTACAGCCCCAGTCTCAGCACTCTGTTCGACCGCCTGCAGAAGAAGCAGGTTGGCCCAAGCCTGTTGCCTCACGGCTTTCTCACTGCCGAGCGCATTCACGGACGCATCTACGAGCGTGCGGACGAAGAGGCCACCGACCGCCCTCTCGCCGACTACGAGGACATATACTATGCGCTCGTCGCACGCATGCAGGAGATGCATCAGTTGTTGAACCTCCGCATCGACAGTGGCTTCAACGTTGCGTCTGAGGACATCTCTGAAGGCGGCCCCAGCATCGCCGAGCTTCATGACAGTCTGTCTGAGTACTGGAACGTCCTAAACAACCCATCATGCGGCAAAGCGCTCGACGATGCGATCCGCGAAGCAAGGCTCGAGTCGCTCCGGCACGAATTGGTTCACCAAGTCAGGGAAAAGAACATGGAAGCAGAGGAGGCGCATGAGCAGTTGTCGCAGCTCTACAGCTCTGATGTCTACAACGGAATCCTCGGGCTCAACTTTGTCCAGGACTGGGCGCCGCCCATGATCGGTGCTTACTTGGAGTCGAAGTACCGCCGCATGCTCGACTTGGAGAAAGAAGAAGCTGTCGTCAAGGCCAGGCTGTCGCGCCGCCAAGCCAAGATGAAGACGCTGCGCGAGGCCCTCACCGCCAAGTCTGCTGAAGAGAAGCTCATTGCACGACGTCACGCCCGCAACAACGCGCGCCGGGCTGCTCCCATATGCGACGTCGACTACGAAGTCAGTCGCCCCACAAAAGCCACGCCCGTCGGATCCGAAGACGCCACCAACAACAACAACAACATGTACCACTTCACAGGCAAAGCATCGATGCAGCACTCCCCCGAACACCAAGCTCAGATCCATCCCGGTCACCACTACGAAGAGCACACGGCTGCCTACTACAACCAGCCCATTGAGGATATCATTGCTCACCAGGAGATGCTCAAGGCAGCTGCTCAGTGGCAGATCAAGGAACAGCGCGTGTCAGAGTACAGCGAGTACCTCCGCGCTCGCGCTAGCCAGGGTGCTCAGCACAGGGTTGAGGCTAGTCAGAGCTCCGTGTCGTCGGGCAGTTCCTTCGGTCCTCCTCCTCCTGGTTATGTTCTCGGCCCTTTTCATCACCCGGATATGGATTACAGTCAGTATGAGAAGTTTTGAGGGCGGACTACGTGATAGGATTGGTGGTTGGGAAACATGGATTGATGAAGCTGTCGACGGATAGGCAGGGCAGTGGATGCTTGAATAGATGGATCAATCAGTGAGGGCTATACCTAAGTGGTGCCACACGAGAGATTATACGTATATAGACAAACAGTGGCAGCTGGAACGATTGGTCTTCGACGCTCACGTCGTTGCGATTCCTTGCTTGCTCAGATAAACAATTGAAACACTTTACTCTTGAAGCTCCACCTTTGACTTGCTATTCTCAGAAGATGTAGTCCGGATCCACCTCGATGATCATGTTCTCGCCGTAGCCGCCTGGTCTCGGTGCTGTGAAGTCTTTGATGTGCCAGAGTTCCTCATTTAGACGCTCAAATTCTCCAGGTCGCTGCTCTTGACAGTCGTAGAGATTGAGAGTCTGCTTCGGTGTTAGCATACAAGTAGCAGCCGTCAACAAGCACACGAAATAACATACCTGCAACCCATCCAACCTCCCCACTACCTCTCTGGCCTCATCTCCCAACAAACCCCCACACTCCGCTACATCCAACATCTTCAACTTCGTCCTCCCCTCCCACTCGCCCATGGAAGTCCACATCTCCCTCCCCAGATACCGACACCGATTCAACCCCAGCTCCTCACACCCCCTACTCTCTTTCAACAGCACAGCCAACTGCTCAGCCCTCAGATCACAATTCTCCAACCTCACCACCGTGAGTCTCCCACTCCATTCAGCCGCACTCTCAGCAAGCACATCCCAAGCCTTACCCTGCTCTTCTCGTTCGATAGCGATACGCGACCGCGGGATGCCGCGTACGTACCTTACCCCGCTTTCGATTCTGAGTGAAAAGGTGCGGAGAGCGCGGAGGGAGGTGATAGCTTTCGCCATGGGCAACGTTAATGCCCAAACACTGATGTTGAGATGCTGCAGCATGGTGCCATGGCGCTTGAGTAGACTGGTCACCAACGCGCTCTGGAAGGTATGCAACGTCAGGTACTCGTAACTTCTTGCCTGGGGAATGCGTAGCCAGTTTTCATAGGGATTGGCTGTACTGGTCGTGATGGGTGGGTCGAGGTACTTGAAAAAGGCAGGAGCGAGGGGCGCGATTCCCAAGGAGAGGGTGTGGAGATTGGCGTTGGCGAGGATGCGGGCGTGACGGGAGGTTTCTGAGAAGCGGAGCAGGGAGGATGTGGGTAGGGGGGTGAGTATGTGGTTGAGGATCTCTGTGGGGAGGTCGAGGAGGTGGGGGGTTGACATTGTTGGAGTTGTTTGTCTGGGGATGATGGAAGATAGGTGAAGTAAAGTAAGGTCGACTAATTGAAGCTGAGGAGAACAATGCAATCCTTCAAGTCCAAGGCTGGGGAATAGATAAATATTTAGTAGCAGGCAGACATCTCGGTGCCATTGCAGTCAGCAGCGAAACTCTAAACCATATATACTTCCACGTCACGCATGTCTTACACAAGCGGCATCTTCCTCCTCTGCCTTCCTTCCTGCCCATCATCATCACAGCGCTTATTCTTTCTCGCCGAATGGTCCCTGTCACCTTGTTTGAAGCAAACGTTTGACCCCGGGAGGCCGCGTCGTGGCGTCGAGCATGACTGATTGGACGAGGCAACTGTGCCGCATGCTGCTGTGTAAGGCGCCCCCAAATCCACCCTGACGGAATGGCATCGGTTAGGTAAGGGTAGCCCGCTTTGAACGTCGTCAACTTTCTAGTTAGAGACAGCGTGCAGTGCGAAGGATCTGCCTGCATATTTGTATATAGCCGCATGCGCTGTTGTTGGGGATGAACTGCAGAACTCGTATCGAGTTTGGTGTTCGTCGTCACAAGGCATAGGTGTGTGATGGCATGGGCCTCGCGGGCGGCGTGGCTGTATCACTGCAGCAGGATCATAATAGCTGTGTTGTATTGATTGCATGGCAGCGCAAAGTTCGGAGTCGCCGGTGCACCGTTGGTCAGTCGCTCGCCGATGATCGCGCGCGGAGGATTGGGTGCCCAGGTAGGAGGATTCGGGGCCGGGGGGCGGCGGGTGATATCAGGAGCCGCGTCCGTATTCGTCGGTCGCTGCATGCAGACATGCGGCGTTCTGCGAGGCTCGCGTAGTTCTGTTGCAGTAACGTAGGAGTTAGCCTGAGGTATTCGACAGCTGATGATAAGAATTGATCATGTGTGGATCTTTTCCATTGCGTGGCTTGGAGCATGCTATGTAGCCGAGACGACTATATATACACCTTCCTGCGCATTGCATCCGCGGAGAGAGGCGATGATCCTGCAGCGTCAACGAGGGGTGCAGATGCACAAATTGCTCGTCAAGCTTGAGATGCAGACCTCAGCCCTCTCCTCCAGCACCACGCTCAAACACCCTTACGCTGCCGTCGCTCTTGACCTGATACAAGAACTCCTTGCCTCTTCCACTGTCGTCGCTATCCTTGTTGGCTTCAATGCCAAAGCCAACATCGAACCATTGTTTTCTCTGCTCAGTAATGCGTATCACACCGCTCACATCCCTCGCAACGCCAGTGTCTAATACTCTGACACCCAGTATCCTCCTGCTCATGTGTGCGCATTTGACAACCAGGTTATGATGCGCTACTTCGAGCGGCTGTGGTGGTGTGGAGAGGCTGAGGAGCGGGTTGTCGGCTTGTAGGTGCGTGAGGATGTGGGATACGTTCGGTAACGTGTGGAGCTGCAGCATGAGGGTGGTGAAGTGGGAGGGCGTGATGGTTGGGTTGAGCGCGAGGAGGAGATCGGGGTTGTCGAAGATGAGGAGCGTCTTTCGGGCGGTGGATGTAGCGAGTGGGGAGATGGCGCTGGAGATGGTGGACTTGATATCCGCAATCTCGAGACTCTTGAGGGTATAGTGGCCTGGCGTGCCTTGGCTTGCAGTCGCCTGGCTGTTCGCGGCGCTCGTAGCTGGAGATGAAGCTGGCGCCACCGCTGGAGCTGATGGAGGTGGCCCTCTCGCAGGCACTATCCGTCCAGGCGGTCCTCGTGCCGGCAATATCTGCGGCCCTCTCTGTGATGTCGCATTCGATACTGGAACTCGTGGTGTTGCTTGCGCATCGGTTCGCGATGGTCTCTCTGCTGTACTGTCTGGCGCATTCCCACCAGCACCCAGTCCATCAAAAAAGGCAAAGCGTCCCTCTTTCCTCAGCTTGTCCAGATCAAGCGCTGCGCCTTTTCGCGCCTCCTGCTTCCAGAAGTCGTATTCTCTCATCCAAGAGACGAGGACGACGTTGTGCCCCTCGTCTCCGCCATCTTGTGTGCTCAGCTCATTGCAGAGGAAGCGGATGAGCAGCCAGTTCGCGCTCGCGCCGAGGGTGCTCGTGAGCAGGAGGATCGAGTCGTGCGGTAGTTGGACGTAGGGTTGGAGGAGCGCTGGGATACGCGTCGAGGGTGGCATCGTGACGCGGGCACCGAGTGGAAATTATGAGTTGCGCGTAGTGTGAAGCTTATCGATACCCGCCATCGTCGTCATCATAGCTTGTTTTTCTGACAGGGAGAGATCACCACCAATGTCGAGAAGCTTGTTTCAGTTTTCTATTTTCTACGTGTTTTTCGTTGCTTTTGTGGTTTTCTCTACTCTGATGATGTCGAACAACTCCCGCACGCCCTTCAGACATAACACGAACCCCAAAGCCAGTCCGTCGCAAGGTCAGCCATGAATGCTGTAAACGCCCGCCAACTTTTCTGCTCCTGTGGCGCACGCCGTATCCTCCTCGGTCCGCTGTTAATGTTGCTTTGCCATTAAAACTACTATTGTAGTCCTCGAGCTCAATTTTGCCTGGAAGCTTCCTCCTCGTACTCCTTACCATATATCGTCTGCACTCCTCTGTCCATTCTTACAAGCTGAAATCCAGGTCCAGCAGCTCCCCGTAGCGCGTGATACCTGCTTCGGTCTCAACAATACCAATCTCTGTATCGACTTCTGCCAGCGTGGAAGATCCAGTGTGCTTCTTGGGTCGGGTTGGGATGTTCTGCTGGACGTCTAGCTGTCGGGCGGTCGCGCCACCGGTCGCAATCTTCCCCAATTCGTTTGGGAAGAGCCACGGGAATGATATCAGAGGCATGTGCTCCGGTTCCATAGGTCGCACCGGAACGTCCCTACCACCAACTGTCTTCTTCGTACGGCATTCAACCAATGCAGTCTCCATCTCTTTCGCAGTCACCATATACATCGCGGCGACAAACTTCTCCAGGTTGTCTTCTGCAGCAGCTCGGCATTCATCCTTGTACTGTGACTTGAATGCACCAATAGTCCTTCCGAATTCTTCAGCGAACTTATAATCTCGGCTCTGCGGAGGTGCGAAGTCAGTATATCTATCTAGCTTCTCGTACAGTCAGGACTTACCTCATGATTGTGTACCAAGACGAATACAGACCAGGCCTCGAACTCTGTCTGGATGCCATGCTTGGCCATCAGTCGCCGCAACGATTCATCATACGACGCCTTGAGTCCCGCTGCTTTGGCCAGAGTCTTATCGCCGAGCTCAAATGCCATCAGGATGCGCTTATCGAATGCGTTTTCCCACTGAGGCTACAGAGATGAGAATGAGAAGTCAGCGTATGTGTCACATGCATTTCATACAGCCACGACTTACCTTAAAGTCCGCCAGCTGCACTTGGTCGTAAAGGATGCCGAGGACCTTTCTTGAATGATAGATCTTGTTCTCTGGAAGGTGCTTCTTCTCCATGAAATGTGGGTACTTATGCGGTCTCAGTTCCCGCGCCATCTCGGCGGGCAAACCGCTCTTGGGAAAGTCGACGGCTTTGGAATGCAATTCCGCCAAAGCGAGGCACTTGTCATCGTTGATGCCATCGGCTTGTAGATCCGCGTGGGCTAGATGGGCATGCGCAATTTGGCCAAGGGTATCATTCTTCATGTAATTGACGAAGAACTCGCCGATGTGTGCGGCAGTAATCGGATCGTCGGTCTCAACCGGCTTTTCGGCTGTGAAGTCCATGGCAGGCATGTTGATGGTTTCGGGTATC